TCGTAACTTTTCCTTTCTTCCTCAATCTCCATTCTCCGTACCTCTGCTTCCCTTTCCTTTTCTCGCTGTTCTGCTTCCGCTTCCAGCCGTAACTTTTCCTTTCTTTCCTCAATCTCCATTTTCCTCACCTCTTTCTATTTCCATTTTTGCCCTTCTCTTTTCCCTCGCGGCTTGTCTGTCAGCCCGCTGAGAACTCAATGCTCCAAAATAAATTTCCCTTTTGTCTTCTCCAGTCATTCCCAGTTCATCCGCCCATTCCATCAACTCTTGTTTCGACATATCTTTCATCCCGCTGGCCATGTTGTCTTCTATATGTCTTCACTGTTCCCGGACGAGCCCCCAGATGTCACACGCAACGTAATATTACCGTAATTGGTATAGTACAGATGTGATGGTTCAAATACCAACAACATAAAGACTTCCCTGGCGGTGATGATAACATACGAACACGGAGCCAACAGATGAGGTTTCAACTGGTACTGGTATTATTATACTCTGCAAACATCAAGTACAATAACGCGGTAAAACTCCACTACTCCAATAACTAGATACTTAAACTCCAATACAATTCAACGAGATCTCCGATCTGATCTCAGTGCTGAACAACTCCCCTATATATACCCCCACTGTCTATAAATAGACCATTACATCAGCATACATAATGAGTCTGGAACTTACTACCAATTTCTAGAATGTTCCATTACCTTCTATTGCCTCCTACAGTGTTCTATTACCTATTCAACCAGTTTCTAAACAAAATCTAGAATATTCCACCCAGACACAGTACGGTTTTAAAACATTCTCAGCGACACGGAAGTGGTACATAAATCGTATGCGACAAATCCGGAACGTCACTTAAACTTTTACAGTCAAATAAGACACACACAACGAAATACGTTTCAACTCTCGTCTTAGTCGGTCAGTCGAGCACTCTATAAGACACAGCGCCCTGGGGAAAAGTCCCCAAGACTATTGCAAGGCTGGCCCAAGACTCTCTCTAGACTGCGTCTCAAGACTGTGTCTGTCCTGGTGTACTCGCCAAGACCAACTAAAACAACTTTATTCATTTTCAAAACCTTAACCAATTACAAAGAGTATAAAGACTCTAAGGCGTGGCCTTCACACATACAGCCAATCACGTCATATCTTTTGATTAATCGTTCACTATATTAATAACTGCGAATACCAACTGTCAGAAATAGTAGTCCGAATGGCGACGGTTATATCGTAATTAGTTCCAAATCACTGAACCAAGTTCCGTCCAGAACCTCGCATGGGTCTAAACGATGACAGACATAACACAGCCAGCTAAATAAGTCGATCAACAGATACGCACAAACAAATTTCATCATAACTGCAACGAAAATGCAACTTGGGTTTGTTATGCGGCGGACGGAAAAAAAATGAATATAAAAATAAGTTTTTTTTAGCAATGTTTTGCACTTACAAGTCGGCGGGCGCGAGAAATTACGCTGAAATAAAATTTTATTTTTATTTCATTTTTGGCTCCTGTTCATTCTGTGGGTTCGCGAAACAAGGGATAATAAAAGTTTGGCCTAACAAGGTCATGTGGTCACATAAATTTCACGCAGTTACAGATAGTAACATGCAAATAGTGCTATGATGTGAAGACATATATCTAATGCATTATTATGTACTAATGTAATACTTCAAGCACTATAATTAATTATTCAGTAAAGTTGGTGCAGTGTTGAAGGCATTGGACAAGTTAATACAACTAATGATGACTTCATTTGCTGCCAGACACAATCATGTTATACTAAGTGATATATGTACATTTTTCACTATGTTGATAATTTGACTATGGACATTAATACAACCTTTAGACGATTACTACAAATAAACATAGATGTGTATTATGATGTATGTGAAAAAAATACATTTTCAAAATAACAAGATGGCTGCCAGTCAGCCATTTTGATTCGACAACAAAATGAATTAACATTGATATCATCATTTTAAACATGTGTAATATATGTACCAAATATCTAACATTATATTTTCTGAAAAAAAACAAGAGGGTGGTCAGTCGGCCATCTTTGTTCTGATTATGAATCAAACTGACAAGAACATGTATGCGCCAAATATGAATGAAAATGGACCACAATTTTTGGCATGGTATGGTCTACTAGTAGTATGGCCAAAAAGCAGTTGACCATCTTTGACATGAAATTAATCATCAGCTATCCAAGATATCAGAATTTTATAAAACAAAATGGCTGCCAGTCGATCCATGTGCATATGTCCAAAATAAAGTACTAGGCAGATTTGTTAAGGTCAACTACCTTAGGATAAAACTTCATGATTCAGTTCAATTCAATATCATGAGTCGTCAAATTGTTGTTTCTCATGTTATGATGAGTTATGATGCCTAGGAAATGTCATTCTAGTTTCATCCTATGGTGGAACTAGAACTTTTTAGGCTCATACACAACAATTTGTTGGACTTGTCATGCATGCAATACTTGAAACATACTATTTATTGCTTCCCGTACGTCTGCTCTACTTCCCAGGAAATCATTGTTGATGCGAAGTAGGTTTTCTATATTACTTTCATAGTAGACAGCATACTCTGGGGATCCTTCAGTTCCGGACCTATTGGCGTGTGTTCCATCTCGCACAATTCGTTCTTCCCATTTACGAGACCATTCATCGAACAGTTGTTCTGTCACATATTTATTTAGTGTTGATGCCTTGGCTTCCATAGCTTCCCTGTCACTGTTGGATATTCCCATATGTTGAGCCATCATCCGGTGGTCTGTTCCATCATCACGTTTGACCTCAAGTAAATTAATCAATGTCAGTTTTGTCCCGGATAGTATCCATTTGACATCACACTCAGACTTAAACTCATCAACAAACATGGAATCAAATCCAGTGCAAAGTAAATCTGTAATTTTCTCCCCGGTGCCAGTGTGCTCATCATATACTAAGCTTCTTTTACGTTCAGCTTCACGAATGGCATCTAGTGGGTAGAAGACTACTTCCTCAAATGACCTGCCATTTTTGATAGAGATAGGACTGATAACACACTTTTCAACATTACACCCTGGAGATATTTCATTACGCATGTCAAAAATACACTGTGCCACCATGTTCATCAGTGTATAGCACTCTCCAAGGCCATCTTCATTCTCACACCTTGCAAATATGTTTATAGCAGTTCTGTCATGGGTCAGATGAACCAATCCTTCAACCCCATAAAAAATCTTAATACCATTTCTCCATATACCACTCGGTTTATATCCAAGCTCAGAGAATTTATTATAAAGACGTGTCTGTACTTGGTGAAATAGTTGTGGTAGGAGCATGTCAATTTCTTTTTGACATTGAATCCTGATCCCTCGATTTAACCTGTATGAGCTTGGCATCCATTGGTCACATGGCACATCATTGGGCAGTAGGGTTGGAATGACATATACATCATTCATGGAAACGCCTTTAGAATCACGTGTTAAAAGAAATAGTAACTCTAGCTTTTGCAAAAGTTGCAGTACCAGCGGAATGTTAATGGATTTATCAAAAACCTTTGCAATTTCATTGACTTTATATGCTTTTTGATTTGGCAACGTATTGCTGAATTGAATAAACTCCTTAGATGCCAGTAATGGACCAATTACTCTGAAACATATCCACAGAGGAATCCAGGCAATAATATCGCCATGCTGTATCACATCTTTAAATTGTACTATCTATAACAAAACAATGGATTCTATTTTAGAAGCAAATACATGTATTATTGATGCATCCGTTAGAAACACTTTCCTTTTCTCCATTCGAGATAACTTGGATATTCAAAGCTTGACATAGAGCTACTACTGTATCATATGTAATACTGCTAACAATATTACTATTTTCCCTTACCTCACCGCCATTGTGGAGATAATTGGTTGCTTTCTTTAAAAAGTCTTCTCTGACAACAGAATCTATTTTGTTCCTTATGAACTCCAGGTAACTTGACCAATCCATAACTGGAAAACCTGCATTCTCTGCAACCCACTTACGTTTACATTCAAGTATGTGTTTACAAATTCTTGGCATTGGCAGTTCACTCTAAATAGCAAGATATACACAATAGATTCATTAGATACAGCAACATAAAGAAGTCACATTGTGAAACTTATGATGTGATTTGCCAATCATTTAAATGTATGCTATTCACATTTTAGATAAAACACTTTTACACAAACCTGAAGAATAAGCATTAACAGATGGGTAATAAAATATACCTGAAGAACGTGATTTCGTCTTGTATGCAATGCTGCTCTCAACCGTTGCATATCAGCACATCTTCCATCATGGCCGTTGATTAGAAAACACTCATTAAGAATCCTTAAATCTTCTTTCATAATCTCTATACACTCCTTTAGAATCTCACTGACAACAATCTCAGCTGCAAGTAAACATATTGATAATCAATTATGATAATCAATCAAATAATTGAAAATAACTTTTAAAATATATTTATATACACATGTACCTTCTTGTCTGTATTCACCAGTCCAATCAGCTCTAGTAGCTACGAGAATTATCAATGGCTGATCGGTCGCATTCAAGGTGGAAAGTATATATAAACCTCGTATGAATTTCAACCAAAATGTCACCTAGAATGTACACAGTACATAATGTGTGAAGATAAAAAGTATAAAACAATTTCTTGCACAATATATGTTTCTCTAATAAGAATATTTTGTTTTCAGTGAGAAGAACATTATTGTGTCTAGGACTCATTTAGACACGAATAATTTATCTGATTATTCTTTATTAGAAACCTGATTAGCAAAAAAGCGAACTGGCTGAGACGTATATGAATGTGTTATTGTATAATGTGTACTACATTAAAACAAATCATAGCATCTGCCTGCACCTATACGTACACCGTAACCTGAGCCAAATGCAATTCATTAACTCATCAAATCGTTATTATACGCCATACTAAAACGAACCACATATTTTAAGTGGCGAATTTGACACTTTTCGTCATTAACAATTGCAGTTTTGTTTAACTGTTTATCAATCCAATTATTGGATGTAGCGCTTTCACCACAAATGACAGGAATGGTTACTAAATGATGAAAATTTCTAGACATCACACTGCACTTTCAAATATCTAATTTTTGCTCAGAATTTGTTTATACCTGATTCATGGCTAGTTGTTTTATGTCCATGGGTCTTATTAGTATGTATCCATCACTCGTTTTCTTGTAATCAACAATTTTGTACACAACGATAAAAGTGGCTTTACCAGCATCGAAGAACATGGAATGCGACACAAAATATTGAGATTGACCTGCAATGTCCCATATGCTGCATTTACCAACTCCAGGAAGATTAACATTCTCAATTGATATGCCAGGAGTAGGAATATGCTCATCTTTGCCAATTTTAGGGGCACGTCGACGAAAGCTAGATAATACTGACTGTAATGAAATCACAACATATTTAGTATTAGGACATATTGTTTAGCTGTACAGCGGTCACGAGTGTTTAGCAAATTTGATAACATATAAATCTTAAATGACTATACTGGCGTTATGAGCCTATGCTAAAGTTTTCACTCTATCATCTAGTTGGGTGAACAAATATAACGTGATTGCGATTACAATGCTAATTTGACACGTGTTGCACCCATTGAGTGATTGTGAACAAACGATGATAATGACGTTTAAAGGACGCCAGTCGTCGTGCCGCGTTCTGTTCGATATGGGACTCATAGCGACATATACAACGCGTGTAAAATACATTGTTTATTTACATGAAATTCGAACACGCGCTGCGCGACGACCACCGCGCTATTTTACCACAACAGTTCTACTGATGACGTTTAGGATAAACATCTCACCTTCTTTAGTGTTTTCTTTAGTGTTGTTTTGCCAACTGCACCATGTCCACAAAAATACATCTTTGTTGAGTCAACTTTATCTCCACACTGTTTCATTAGTAATTCACTGTGTTGTCGTTGCTGTTTACAAAGCAATAGTAATCATAATTTGAAATCATTCGGGGAAACAGTACGTCATTTTCTATTTAAAAAAATAACCAAGCAAAAAGTGAACGCCTGTTGCAACGTGTTTAGACTAGAATTTTGTTCTGCCTCTCTTGATCTACTTGTACTGACAGAAGATCACATGGGTTTATATTGAACAGTACAGGGGAAATACGCCAGTTTGTTTTTACACCTGAAAGTCAACACCTAAAAAATGAAAGGACATGTATAGCAATACTTTGATATAACTCATCGATGAACTCAACATAGAAATTTGGCAAAAAGCAAAAGATTTTTCAAGAAATAATTCACCTGTTTTGCCTTCATTAGTAATATTTTAGCGTCTTTGTAGAAATCAGTTTTCATACCAGCTGATGATATATTGGAATTAATATACTGTAAAGGTGTATTGCCGTCTTTCTGTAATGTGAAATAAATTAGTGTGTATGGACTCCACTCACATTTAATGAATAATTTGGTAAACAAATAGGTGCTTTTGATTCTAACTTTGAGGACCCTTTTTTGAAATACTTGATGAATACTATTTTTTAAGTGTGATTTTAATTTGCCATGTGCTATGGTAGTATAAGTGTGAAGAAGTCAGATTTTGATATCAAGAGAGATCTACTTTCAAGTTTTTCAAAATTTTGCAATATCCAAATTGTATATACCACTCCTGGGAAAATGTAACATCGCAGTATTTGTGTAGTCCATCTACAGTGATATAAAATTATGAAAATGTTCTTTGGTTTAGCACTTAGATGACGTTGCTATTAATCTGGATTTATGCAGCATATATGTAACCAATAAAAACTGGACAAGTCATTGTTTTTTCAACGTTGTCATGAATGATTTGGAGTTAGCCATAATTTCACAATCTCTGAATGTAAAGTGTTTGTAGGCAGATTTTGGAAATAAGGGGCGCGTTACTAACTAAATTGAAATATTGAAAATAAACAAGTGTGTATAAACTGTAAATCTATGGTTCAATTACGTAATGAATATCAAATCAAAACTCACAGTAACATATTCAAAGTCGATATTCCTTTCCAAAAGCAGCTTCAAAATATCAAGAGATGATCGCTTTTTATCTTCATTAAAAATGCCCAAGCTTCTGTTTGGAAATTGAAGTACTTTGATGAGAGCATTTTCCTTTTTCTGAAATAATAATAATAATTGCATAGAGTGATTTGTACATTATCATATACCTCATATATATATATATATAGCGCTCGGTTTTCAACAAACAAAACAAAACTTTTAAATTAATTAATTAATTTTAAATTCCGTTGTGTTTGAGAGCACACAATGGTAAAGTTATAAATACCACTATATGATAAAATCTTAATGGCCTGGATACGACTTTAGTCCATAAGGATTTTTATATCTATTTCAATAGCGATATCAAAATAGGCATATTATATAACATTTACGTTGTAATTCGCTGTCAAATACAGTTATTAAAACATTCGTACCATATGTATCTCAGTCTATGAAATCCTATTTTCCATAAACTAGAATGCTAACTAGAATGCTCACAATTGACAGTTATGCATATTCTGAGCATGTTTTAAATATAAGCTTTACGATAGTTTGACCTTTGTTTTCGTAGATCACTTTCATGTTTCACTATCAGATTTAATATTTATGAGAAACAAGTATTAAATTATATACATTAATATATATACCGGTATATATTAAGGTGTTTTTTTTTAAAAGTACACCAATTAGTCTGTATCACATATGAAGGTCAACGTCTCTTTTTACACCTGACGTAAACAAATAGCTAACATCACTAAATTAACAAATTCTAATTAAACCGCAGAACAGCACAATCATCTCAGAATTGACATTGAGAAAAGTCAACAAAAATAAACATGACGCTGTATTACTGACAATGATTAATTAGAATGACCTGGAATTTAGTCTCAATAGAGACTAATGTGTTGACTGCATTGAGCAGCATTTCCCTTACTTACATCATTGATAACATTGACATTGGCGTCTTTATTCACTAACAATCTCACTATTGACAGAAGACCATCCCCAGCAGCTGTATGTAATGGAGTGTTGTTACTCTGGAAAAAAACACATGTCCAGTTATTAATAAATAGCAAATCATTTTCATACAATTAATCAAATTAAAATATTAATCGAATATCGTATATTTGCGACTATGAAACAAGAAAGATAAATGTCTATTGATTTACAAGGTGCCACAACACTGAGCTTTTTTTGAACACTACTGTAATACTATATACGAGTCACCCAGATGGCTATCCCACCACTCAGCTCAGTCATGTTACTTGATTGAAGTGCTAGCAAAGTTCAGACATTATTGAAAACAGTTTACATAGAATATACAGGCTTGGGCATATTCTCAGATTGTTTAGACCCTTTTCCTAAAACAAACATAAAATAACCTCGCATTTAAGCTGCAACCAAACTATTTGTGAATACCGATTTAAAATGTAGAAACAAACTGTAAACAATTGGTAATGCGCATGTGTAACTTGCGTCTCTGGTACTGTCAGATTTGCAACATAGATTTGAATTTGTCCCCTAAAAAAAGCTGGGCTCTACGTTACCTTGTCAACTACATTTATTTTGGCTCCTTTGGACAACAATGCTTCAACTGATTTAGTATCACCAAGTCTAACTGCATAGTGAAGTGGAGTTCTGTTGTCCTGAAACAAAATTAATGTAACTGCATTAAATGACATTAGTACGGGGAAAAAGAAACTGAAAAACAGGGTTAGACTACAAATTACCTTGTCAACTACGTCTGTGTTCGCTCCTGCTGACAACAATGCCTGAACTGACTTGCTGTCAGTGTGTTCCACAGCAAGGTGAAGTGGGGTCTTTTTGTCCTGAAACAAATATTTTACTGTGTTAGACAATAGTACATAATATTATATGTTGTTTGTAAAGGGTTGAAAACAAAATACTTCGTCTTGCTGACAACAATTAAACTCATTCATTTATAGTTAATACATGCTACTCCAAACTGAAAATGATTCATCGACATTGCATGTAATTAGTAACACAAATATGAATTTGTAATTCATGTAAGCTTGTACGACAAATTACCATATCAATAACATTCGTGTCAGCTCCTGCCGACAACAATGCTTCAACTAATTTATTATCACCGCGGCCCGCTGCATAATGAAGTGCGGTCTTGTTGTCCTGAAACAAATATAGAGGACTATGTTAAATGAAGATGGAGAAGAGAGATGAAATTGAAGAGAACTCACGTTGCACAGGATCGCCAAGCGTGGGGGCTGTTGTAGAGGCCACCCACCAGCAGTGACGTGACAGGCTGAGATGATGATGATGTTAAATGACAAAGTAAAATCAAAGAAAGCTTAGAAAGAACTCCCATGTGCTGAGAGTATTGGAGACACATTAAATATAATTCGAAATTACTTAGCTGAAAACTAATTATGCAAATCAGAAAATTAATATGACCAGATTTGAGTGTAAAACTAATGAGGTCTTGCGCAATGTAACAGAAAATCTATGTCTCCAAGTTTAATTGAAATGTGATTAGAACCAAAAAATTATGAATTATTATGCTTATTAGGGAATTAATATGAACAGATTTTTACCCCAAACTAATTAGGTTTGTACATTGTCCTAGAGCATCTTTGTACTAAGTTTCATTGAAATGGAATAATTAGTACCGTGAAAACTCCAAAATTTCGACCCCTCTAAA